AGACTCTTAAATACTGAGAATAAACAGAGGGTTGCTGAGGGTTGGGGGGAGGGGAAAGTGGGTGATGGGTACTGAGGAGGGCACCTGTTGGGATGAGCACTGGGTGTTGTATGGAAACCAATTTGACAATAAATTTCATATAAAAAAAAAAGAAAGAAAAAGAAGATTGGTGGTCTTGTTGTTGTTTTCTGAGAGAGATAATACATTTTACATTGATGGGAAACATCAAGCAGAAAGAGAATGAATTCAGGTGGGAGAGGGAAGAAGAGACTGAGTGATGTCCCTGAACAAGCAACAGTGATCAGAGCCCATAAGCATAGGTGAAAACAGGTATGGTTATGGGCGTTTGTGGAAGTTCTCCTCTGATTGCTTCTATTTCCTTGTAAGAAGTAAGAACATGAACTGAGAGCATGGACGAGGTACTGGAAATCTAAGCAGGAAAGAATGTTCCAGTGGCTGAAATGGAGCAAAAATTCACTAGGAACAGCATGATCTCTAGGCAGCATTAACGTTCGACTGAAGTTTGTGATCATGACTTTAAAGTGAAACCAGTCAGCATGGTTGTGAGTCTTTTCCCAGTTACACTGAGCCAGACAGGAGCAGGCACTGCAGAGGCAGAAAGCTGGCCTCAACGTGGCCTGGAGTTTAGTTCAGAGGAAGCAAGAGAGGCGAGGAGGAGAAAGGTATGTGCGAGTGACTGTAGTGACCTAGAGTAGGATTTCAGCTGGGAAGAGAGGGGAATGAAGACAAGAGTATGGTGAGAGATAATGTCACAGTGGTTCTAGCAGTGGAGTCCAAGGATCAGTGAAGTCAGGGCACTAAACAAGACAGTGGGAACAAACCCTCAGGTTCCCTTTTCAAGGTGGACTGATAGAAGTCATCAATAATCTCCTATCTATTGTCTCACTTGACCTTCCTCTAGTCATTGGATGGACAGTGAGTGTCTCAAAGCAGAAACTATGTCTTATCTGACCCTAGTATTCTAGGCAGTACCTACCCCAGGGCTTGATACACAGTTGCTACTCAATAACGTATCTACTAAGAAACTCATTTGCTAAAACATCAAGGTTATGGTACTGGGAGAGAATGAGGCAGTCACATGACAATTCAACTCTAGGAAGTACCTCTAATGATTTTCATATATATCAATGGCAATTTTGTCTACATCTTAAAGGTATGCTTCATTTTTTTCCAGAAATTTTTGATTTTAGAGAGATTTTCTAAAGTATTTTTCAAATTCTCATTACAATATTTTTACCTCTATTATCTGAAACCCAGCCTCCTTCCCACATCAAACATACACAAACTGAAGATAATCCCAATAAATAGCCTGCCTTTCATTCTGCAATTCACTTTTTGGTACAGAAAAAAACAGAGATGGGGAGGGAACATCTGATGAACCTTAAAACACTGAATCTTGGGGCACCTGGGTGGCTCAGTCGGTTAAGTGTCGACTTCAGCTCAGGTCATGATCTCACAATTTGTGGGGTCAAGCCCCATGTCGGGCTCTGTGCTGACAGTTCAGAGCCTAAAGCCTGCTTTGGATTCTATGCCTCCCCCCCCACCCCTCCCCCTGCTCGCACTCTTTCTCTCTCTCTCTCTCTCTCTCTCTCTCTCTCTCTCTCTCTCTCTCTCTCTCAAAAATAAATAGTAAAAAAATTAAAAAGAAAAAAACCACTCAATCTCTAGTTCTCATGCACATGCACCTATGGAACCAACTCCCTAGCCAACCAAGTATAATGAAGAAAGGTGGAAACACTAAGCTTAAAAACAGTGACAGGTTTACTATACGTAAGATTTCTCTAAGTCCTTAAAAGCTAAAAGACTTACTTGAATAAGGCAAAGTTTTGTTGTTGTTGTTGTTTGTAGGAAATTTGATACAGCCTCATGGAACAGTTCTGAAACAAAAAACTATGGGTCTAGAATGGCGCTTTATTAGCCAAAGAGTGCCTGAGAATCGCTTCAGAAGCTTTCCGCAGATGTCCTGAGTTCCTGCCCAGAGAGTCTGACCTAAGAGACGGAAGAAGGTCCCAGCAACCGTGCTCTGAAAGGGCTCTGCATTCAAAGCATGAATGAGAAGTGGACTGGGTCCTAGACTGAGAGCTAACTGTCTAGCATACAAGTCTCTGATGACTGCTACCTTTCTTTTTTTCTCAACTATCTATCAGAAGTTCCAAAAACCTCCTAAAATTATTTCACCATTAATTCCTTCCTTACTGTGGTATACTCTGGGTCAAACTCGAACAATGCCTATACCATTTACATATAAGCCGGCACTCAAAATCACAGAGGTGGTGGATTTTATCCCTCTGATAAACATAACTCACTAGAAACGAAAAATAAATGTGGAGCTGGACTCACCCGTTCCACAGCCGCATTATGATATGGGAGCTCCTCCTCGCTGCAAAGGAAGAACAGTAAATGTGAAATAGTGGAGATCACAGTAGCTTTTTATTTTTATTTATTTATTTTTTAAGCTTATTTGAGAGAGAGAGCGAGCAAGAGAGAGAGTGCTTGCACGGGTGAGCAGGGACGGGGCAGAGAGAGAGGCAAAGAGAGAATTCCAAGCAGTTTCCATGCTGTTAGTGCAGAGCCTGATGTGGGGCTTGAACCCATGAACTGTGAGATCGTGACCTAAGGTGAAATCAAATCGGACACTTACCCAACTGAGCCACCCAGGACCCTCCACAGTGAACTTTTTAAAAATTATATACCTACAGGTACCTATGATATACGACCATTTGTCTGTCATCACAAGAATGGATCAAACTACATAAGCTTCCACTCTACCAAATTCAATATAAAACAACTGGCTATTTTGTAACCACAATGGCCCCTCTCTTTAAATCTCTAGACATACACTGTCCAAGACAGTCATTTCTAGCCACATGTAGCTATTTAATCTTAAATGTTAAATTCAGCCACAGTACAAGCGCAAGACAGTCATGTTGACAGAGGCTACTGTTTTCAATAGTGCGTATATAGGAAGAATGGTCTTAAAATTGCCAAAAAGTCCTACTGGACAACACTGCTGTAGACAGGAGGGCAGGAACCTTCTTCTGTGAAGGTAACCATTTAAACAGTAAATATATTAGGCTTTGCAGACCATACAGCCTTTTTCATGACTATTAAACTCTGATGCTGTAACGTGCGAGCAGACATAGACAATATGAAGACGGCATGCAGTTTTAGTCCCGCAAAATGTTTACAGAAACAGGTAGTGAGCTGAAGGTGACCCCCTACTCTATACCATCTCCTCAACTCTCTGGTTCAAACCATGGCCTATAACAAATGATTGGCTTAAAAAAAATGGTATAAGGGAACAAAATTACCTCCAATAGATTGATGAATTAAAAAGAAAAATCTAGGGGCACCTGGGCGGCTCAGTCGGTGAAGTGTCCGACTTCAGCTCAGGTCATGATCTCACAGTTTGAGGGTTCCAGCCCTGCGTTGGGCTCTGTGCTGATAGCTCAGAGCCTGGAGCCTGCTTCGGATTCTGTGTCTCCCTTTCTCTGACTCGCACTTTGTCTGACTCCCCCACTCGCACTTTGTCTCCCTCTACCAAAATAAAGAAGCATTAAAAAAAAAAAATTAAATGAAAAGAAAAATCTAACTCTATAAATCAGGAAAGCTTCATTTGCCAAAACTTTAATGGGGATGAGATTTTTAAATGTACAACAAAAGATGAAATTCATTTTTCTAATACTGTAATTCTGTGATACCACCCCTAACCTAAAACATGCTAAGACTCTTGTATTAACTGCCCAAAGTATAAAGACAATGCACTGTCTATAACAAAGTTATGTGCTTTCAATTGCTACCTCAGCAGTATTGATGTCTTGGCAATGATACATAGATTCTTGTCTTCATTTCTCTTGAACCACAAAATCCCATTTTTAAGAGTGCAACGCATTAGTATTCAAGAGTCTAGTATTTCCAAAGGCATGCTTGCTACTCTGAAGAGTCCTTAGGTGAACCACAAACCAATATATAGCAATGGAACTGACAAAAAGTGTAATAGCTGAAACAGGTGGTAGAGAGAGAGTCCAAACCCCTCATTTCAGAGATAAGAAAACCAGCATTTTCACTAAGTCACAGTCACTCAGTCTAATACAGAGATGCTCAAAACTATCGAACCCTGTGGTTCAAACGAAGATGGACAAGACCTTCAGATTATGCAGGAGAAGATGAGGAAGAGGCTGAGAAACCAACTCTTGAGAAAAGAAAAAACACCTCTGAGGATTTAATAGAAAAGTCTTTTTTTAAAAAAATGTCAAGTGTCCACACCTTGGGTTTTTTATGTCTTCCATTGTACTCACAGTCTACATGTCCCTGATCCCTGCAGCCATTGAGGTATGAATGGCACAGCATGTAACTTCTGGTTTAAAAGCGCATCCATCCATTCCTCAACTGTTGGCAGAAAAGGGCTTATCAACGCCGCTGGAATCTATTTCTTAGGTGAAGGGGTCAGCAGAGATGTCCCGAAAGCACAGGAACGTCTGGCACCCTTTGTGCACACCACGACAGGTGTTTCTGGAGCGAGCGGGCTGCCCTGGGCAACAGCAGTTTCTCGTGCAGCTGATGTGAACAGATCCTGGTAACTGCCTACTTGAACCTTCCTGACTGCAAATGAAGTGCCAACTCCGGCTGCCTACCAAAGGACAAGTTCTCTGAAGGTGCCGGGTACATTTCTGTGGCGTTCTTCTATTTACTAAACAAGACCCACACATTTTGCTGTGCCTATTCTAAACACTGAATCAGAACCAAGTTTTGTATTTGTCTGTAGAATGGTGTGGACCATGTATCGGCTCAGGCTACGTGGCCTATGTTGGGCAGGTCCTACAGAATGCACTGGTGAAATTCAAGATGAGACAGGACTGCCCTCAGCATCCCACTCCATCTTAACATCAAACCATACTACTGAAACCCCTGGGACAGAGACATGCAGGAATGTGTGTGTGTGTGTGTGTGTGTGTGTGTGTGTGTAAGTATATGTATATTACACATGTATATACACACACATATATATAATCCAAATACACACACACACACACACATATATGCAAATATATACACATATATATATTTGGATATATACATATATATATTTGGATTATATATATATATGTGGATATAAATACTATATATATTTTTTTGGATATATATATATATACATTTGGATATATATACATATATCCAAAGTAAGTCTTAGGCAAACTCCAAAAGTAGACACACTTGGTCTAGGATCTCCCTCCACCTCAATGTTTTACATTGTTTCCTTTTGCCCTGTCACAACCCCACCAGGATCTGATTGTCTATGCAGCACCTCCATCATATCCCCAAATAGTTATTGAACTCCTACTAACCAAGCCTTTATTTATATGCATTTTAAAAATTTATTCCTTAAATTTTTTGTTTGAGATATAACTGACCATAACATTACACTAGTTTTAGGTGTACAACATAGTGATTTTTTTTAATTTTCTTTTTTTAATGTTTATTTTTGAGAACGAGAGAGACCGACACAAGTAGGAAAAGGGCAGAAGAGAGCGGAAGACACAGAATCTGAAGCCACCTCCAGGGTCTGAGTTGTAAGCACAGAGCCCGATGTGGGGCTCGAACTCATGCACAACAATTTGACATATGTATATATTACAAAATGATTACTATATTAAGTTAACATCCATCACCACACACGGTTACAAGTTTTTGGCTTTTTTCCTTGTGATGAAAACTTTTAAGATCTACTCCCTCAGCAACTCTAAAATATACAAATATTAACTATCATCACCATGCTGTGCACTACATTCCCAGGACTTACCTACCTTGTAACTGGAAATTTGTACCTTTTGATCACATTCACTCATGTGCCTACCTCCCACAGCCACCATCCCCCATCTGGCCTCTGGCAACCACCAACCTGTTCTCTGTATTTGTAAGTTCATTTGTTTGTTGCTTGTTTGTTTCAAATTCCACATATAAATGATAACATACAGTATTTGTCTTTCTCTATCTGATTTATTTCACTTAATGTCCTCAAGGTCCATCCATGTCATCATAAATGGTAAAATTCCATTCTTTTTTGTGGCTGAATAATATGCCTCTGTGTGTGTGTGTGTGTGTGTGTGTGTGTGTGTGTGTGTGTGTGTACACATTTTCTTTATCCATTCATCTATCAATGAACACTAAGGTTGTTTCCATGTTTTGGCTATTGCAAATAATGTTGCAGTGAACACAGAAAACAAAAATCCTTCTGAGACTGTGATTTCCCTTTGGATAAATACCCAGAAGTAGAATTGGTGGATCACACTGTAGTTCTATTTTTAATTTTTTGAGGAACCTCCCTACTGTTTTCCACAGTAGCCGCACCAATTTATGTTCCTACCAGCAGTACACAAGGGTCCCTTTTTTTCCACATCCTTGCCAACACTTGTTACTTCTTGTCTTTTTGATAATAGCTATTCTAACCGGTGTGAGGTGATATCTCATTATCTCATTGTGATTTTAATTTGCATTTCCTTGATGACTGGTGATGTTAACCATCTTTTCATGCACCTGTTAGCCATGTGTATGTCTTCTTTGGGAAGATGTCTATTCAGGGTCTTTGACCATTATTTAATTTGACTGTGTTTTGCTACTTAGTTGTAGGAGTTCTTTATATATTTTGGATATTAACCCCTTATCAGATACCTAATTTGAAAATACTTTCTCCCATTTGGTGCATTGCCTTTTAAAAAATTTTTTTTTAATGTTTATTTATTTTTGACAGAGAGAGAGAGAGAGACAGACCATGAGCGGTGGAGGGGCAGACAGAGAGGGAGACACAGAACCCGAAGCAGGCGCCAGGCTCCGAGCTGTCAGCACAGAGCCCAACGCGGGGCTTGAACTCACCAACCGCGAGATCATGACCTGAGCCAAAGTCGGATGCTCAACCGACTGAGCTTCCCAGGCGTCCCAGGTGCGCTGCCTTTTTATATGCTGTACAAAAGCTTTTTGGTGAGATGTAGTCCCATTTGTTTATTTTTGCTTTTGTTGCCTCTGCTATTTGTATCAGATCCACAAAATCACAGCCAAAACCAATGTCAAGGAGCTTTGTGCCTATGTTTTCTTCTAGAAGTTTTATGGTTTCAGGTCTTACATTCAAGCCTTTAATCCACTCATTCTGCTGCCTGTGCCTGCCCAGTGCCCCCACTGCCACTTATTAAAGAAATTGTCCTTTCCCTACTGTAGTAAATTAAATGACCATACATGCGCAGGTTTCTTTCTGGACTCTCATGTCTGTTCCAATGCTCTATGTCTCTATTTTTGTGGCTATACCATAATGTTTTGACTACTAGAGCTTTGTAATATACTTTGAAATCATGAAGTGTGATGCCTCCAGCTTTGCTCTTCTTTCTCAAG